AGGAATTGGCTCTGAGGCTCTGAAGAAATCATCCTGGGATCCAAAGTGAAAGACTTGGGTTCTCAGCTAGGAGCATAGCCAGCAGCCAATAACTATTTAACTTTCTGTGTTACATCATCTCAGCAACTTACTGTCATTCTTTAGAGCCCTATCTGAGAGGGAAGAGAGAGAGAATTTGAGAGCACTAGAGCTTTGAAGGCCATATGTTCTCATGAAACTTGTATAAGGTACACATGTTCCTGTTGAGGTCTTAAATGTTTCTTTACTCACAGATTTCCAACAGTTTTTGTGCCTCTAAAATACTCTATTGACAAAAACATCTGTAGTATATGCTAATGGGATCCTGGGTTTACCCAAAGAGTCCTTATCTTTTAGATATGCAACTTGAAAGATTTTCTGGTAAAAGGATCTGCTGACCCAGAATTTGCTTTAAGATGCTCCTGTGTGAGGTCTTGGTGATGGGACAGTATGTCAAACATTACTGCCCATGAACCAATAGCCAAGGAAGGTAGCTCGTCAGATCTATGATGGATCTTGACACTGTTTGTCTCCCTTTGCGAATGTTGAAATTTTCCATATAAATAGGTTGACACAATGCAAGGATACAATTTTTAAAATACCCAGAATAAATGTTCTCTAGTGTTACTAATTTCAACACTCCATCATTTAGCTTTCTAGGGAAACTGCAAAGAAAATGGACTTCTAGAGATGTTGTATGCCCTTGTTTTATGTTTGGTGGTGTTTTGTGTATTTTATACACTCAGACACTGTGTGTATGTGCTTGCTTCTCATGATGCTGTATAGACCTCTGGATGAGAGGGTCTGGTGTGTCCTGTTTTCCAGGTGGTTCTTAGATAATGAACCTAATTACTTCCACACATGTACTTTGGAGTGAGAAGTAGCAAATATAAGGATAAAGGAGCCAAATAAGAATTGTCATTGATCATTTCTTACAACAATGTGACTTGGTTTATTTATTTGTTTTTGAAGTGCTGTGGATTGAATTTAGGGTCTTAAGTAAGCTAGACAAGCATTCCACCACTGAGCTACATCTCCAGCTCTTGATTTCTTTCTTTTCTGCCTATGTATGTTTGTGTATGCATATGTACACACAAGTGTGTGAATGTATATATGTGTGCTTGCATGTGGAAACCAGAGTAAACCCTCAGGTGTCATTCTCAGGAGCTATCCACCATACTTTTTGAGGCTGAGTCTCTCTGGTCCAGAATATGCCAAGTAGGTTAGACCGGCTGGCCCATGAGATCTACAGATCTGTGAGCTTTGCCTCTCTAGTGCTTAGGATTACAAGCAAGCACCACTGTGCTTAGCTTTTTTAAGGAAGGTTTTGGGGATCAAACTTGGGACTTCATGTTTGTGTGGCAAACACTTTACTAATAAAATTGCCTCCCCAGTCCCATTTCTTAAGAAGACATGACTGGGTTGACAAGATGGCTCAGTGGATGAAAGCATTTGCTTCTAAGCCTGATTATCTGAGTTCGATCCCCAGAACCCATGTGGTGGAAGGACAGACCTGACTCCAAAAGGTTGTCCTCTGGTCTTCACACACATGCCATGGTATGTGCACTCCTGCAAGAGTTTGTGCATACACATAAACACATAAACAAACAAATAAATAAGTAACTATAATGAAAAGACTATAAGCAGGTGTGATGATATGTGTTCATAATCCTAGACAAAAGGAATAGATGAAGATGAAGATAAAGAGGAAGAGGAGGAGGAGGATATGGAAGACATAATGTATTGCCAGTGACCTCTCAGTGAAGTTCTGATCTCTAGGATGTCAGGAGAAAGGGCCAATATAAGCAATGCATGAACAAGAGATAGGTAATGATCAAAAATCCTGACTCCAAGGTCCAGTTGCTCAGGTCTTGCTCTTGCCACTCAAGGAGATGCATGACCTTGAGTAGGTCTCCTATCTTTCCAGAGTTTCTCACTGCTCTATCTGTGAAATGGATGTAACAGTAGAGTCTTCTAGAGTTGAAGATTGGGGTTGTACCTGACTACAGGGAACATTTTAGCGGACATTCACTGTTGTCATTGCCACTAAGTAAGCATAGAAATTGATGAAATCGGGGAAGGCAGAGAACACGGTGCTGTCTGAGCTTGCTTCTGGACTGTCAATCAATGGGTGCTTTTTCTTTTTTCTTTATTTTTCCCTTGGACTTTTCAAATAGCTAGTACTTGTTATTCTTATATTTAGAAATTCTCTTTCTTTCTGTCTCTGTCTCTCTTTCTTGAGACCAGGTCTCATGCTATAGTCTTCCTGCTTCTGCTTCTCAATTGCTAGGATTAAAGGCCCATGGCCAGCTAAAATGTATCTCTTAAAAGTAATTTTAAAAGTCTTTGAGGGCCAGTGAAATGGCTCAGTGGATGAAAGCACTTGCTTTAAGCCTGAGTGTGATCCCTGGGTTCCACGTCGTGGAAGGAGAGACCTGACTCCTGCAAGTTGCCTTCTGGCCTCCACACAAACACTGTAGCAAGCTCATGTTCACACATACATTAAATTAATAAATACGTGTGATGAGAAATTAAACAAATACATGAACAAAAAGTCTTTTCGGAGAAATTTCAATGCCCAGTAGGACCTCCACTATGCATCTTCCAGATGATATTTTTTTAAAAAAATGTGTTTAACTGCCATATCATAATTATGTTACATTATGGAGTACATGTGGTATTTTTAATATATGGATCTGGAATTTAGTATAGCTGATAAACATGTCCATCATTTAGTTTACTTGACATTTTTGGGATGTATTTGAAATCTTTTTGCTTATATTGGAATGTGCACATTTGGACCCACGCAACCGCTTCCTGGAAGAGTTCAGTAGAGAGCCATCCCTGCTCTGCCTGCACCTTCCCAGTAGGTGCTCTCTCTCTCTCTCTCTCTGTCTCTCTCTGCCTCTCTCTGTCTCTCTGTCTGTCTGTCTCTCTCTCTCTGGTTTTTCAAGACAGGGCTTCTCTGTGTAGCTTTGCGCCTTTTCCTGGAACTCACTTGGTAGCCCAGGCTGGCCTCGAGCTCACAGAGATCCACCTGGCTCTGCCTCCAGAGTGCTGGGATTAAAGGCATGCAACACCACTGCCCATCTCAGCAGGCTCTCGTTAGGGCGTAGAGCCTCTTAAAGGCCAGTGATGTTCACTGTGCACACTGATGGTCTCACCAGCTCCTGTTCCAAGCCATCTGTCCCTCCTCACTGCTCCTCCATGTCAGCAGGCCAACCTCTTTTGAGGGAAGTGAACCCCCTCGATCCAGTTAGGAATAGCACTATTTGGTATCTAGTTTTTTAGAGTCTGCTCTGTAGAGCTCATGTCCACTGGCTAGTAGGATGCCTAAACCACAGTGGCAAACTGAGACACACAACAGGCACATAGATGACTTAGAAAAATGGACGTCTACAGACCTGAAATCGTAAGCCGGATAAATTGGTGGGTAATTACAGGCAGTACATAGAAGGCTTTTGCTTTGCCAAATGATTTACATGAGGACATTTATAAATAGCAAGCCCATGCTGTGTGTTTGAATCATGCTGCTGTTTTACCCAAAGGCTAAGACCTTTCTAGAACACACCTATTCCAGGATGGCAGGCCCAATGCAAAGTTTACAAAACAAACACTTGAACTCTTGCGCTGAGTTATGCCATCTACAGAGTTCTAGATCACCTCTGAAACGTAGCTGGTCCTTGGCCTCTCTAGGACTGGTGGTCAATGGTTGACAAGAATGAGTCCCATTGGGTTCCAGGTAGAAGAGAGGTGCTATGCACAGAGAACCTGCTTTGGAAAGGACCATCTAGTGTGGTGGATCCCTTTTCCCTAGCTCACACAGGGACAGGGTAAGTTAGGTAATCTTAACTAACCTCTTCCTCAAATGGTCTTGTCTGCTTTTCCAACTGGATTCTAGAGAAGTTGCCACTAGTGTCCAGATGAGACAGCCAGGAGTTAAACTGGGGCAAAGATTTTGGTCTTAGACCGCCATCTCTGATGGTAACTATTGACACCGCAAGTGCACAGTACCAGCATCGCGCCCATCACCAGGACCTCTTGAGCTGGGATGCCATTCAAGGTTGCACAGCAGGACCACAGGGTCCCACTTGTCCTCACTCTTGTCTGACCTCTAAACCGGCATCCCTTTGCAACATAGGGAGCACTCCCTCTCTCCCCCACAATGCCCCAGGTCCTCACAAAGACCCGTGCACGGCCACGAGCCTTCCACTTAAAGGACTCTATGAAACTAACTGCAACTCCATCTTACGAGGTTTACTTTCCCGGCGGGGTTGCCATTTGGCTCTGCACAGTTAAGCAGCCACGCTTTACTTGGTTCTCTTCCAGTTTTTCCAAACATGTGCCTGGCACCCACGCAAGTTTCAGAGGAAATATAAATGTGACAGAAGACGTGCTGCGGGCTTGGTTTTGTGTATATGTGTTAGTGTGACTCTTAAAATGACAAGTGTTAAGTTCTACAGAGTAGCAACTTCTACCAGGGGAAAACTAACTTTCTTACAATCCCAGTTACTTCTCTTCGCCTCATGTATTTCTTTAAACTCTTGGTATCTGAAGTTAGGGAAGCACCCTAGTAAGCAAAGGGTCCCTGAGACCCCAGGATGAGGCGCACTTTGTGGGCTCAGTGCCCAAGCTTTCTAAAGGAACATCCCCAGGCTGTCTCAGTCTTTCTGTCCCCAGAAGCTACCAGTACCCACCCACACTGGGGACACAAGCAGGTTTAGGGCACACATCATCCTAACTCCCTCTCCAGCCTAGGGAAGCCATCTGGGCACGGGGTAAGGGTGAAGTGCCTGGGCTTCTAAGGCAGAAACCCTGCAAAGGTTTGTGTTTGTGGGCAGCTGGCTTAGCATGAGAAGCAACGGGTCCTGCTGGTCCCAGGTCACTGGGCATGTGTCCCAGCTCCCCTAGCACCGGACCCCAAAGGAAAGGAGACAGAGGGAGAGGGGACTTGGTGTTTCCCCAGGGCAGGCGCACGGTACCTTGGATTCCAGGCTGCTGGTGGACGCAGGAGAGGGCGGCTGCTCTGTGCCGGTTGCCTCCCCGGTCAGCCCGTCCCTGCTGTCCTCGCGGGCTCCACTCGGAGGGATCATCGTGGCGGCGGGAATGGTGTTGGGCTCCTGCGGGGAACCGCAAGCTCGCTTGCCTTTGCGCTCCCTCAGTGCCGGGTCCCTGGGTTGTCCATCCCGCCAGGCAGCGGCGTGCGCCCTGGGGCCTGGCCTGGCCCGGTCCTGCCCACCTCCCGGGCCTCCGCCCCGCCCCGCGCAGCGCCCGCGGCCACCTCGCCCGAGATCGCGCGCGTCGTGACTGCCGCCCACCGCAGCAGGCGGGTGGGCCCAGGCTGGCCCCCTGGAGGACAGGAGGCGGCGGCTCGGGGCGGGGCTGCGTGGTTTCGTGTGGGGGAACCCAGGGCGGGCGGGGGCCGCGCCCACCCCGACAGTGCTGGATCTCCGTGCAGAGTCTGGTGATGTTCTAAGAGAAATTGCTCAGCAAACCCCAAAGAACAGAAAGCTAGTACAAACAAGTGCTACGGGCCACTTTCAGCAAATCCCTCATCCCTGGCCCTGAAAGTGAAGAGAGATGTGGTGGCACTTAGCTTAATTTATAGTTCAGTGACAGCAGGGACCAGTGTGGGCGTCCTCTGACCCGTGGGCACTGCAATTTCCAATGTTCCGCTTTGATCTAAATCAGGCAGATAATACACTTGGTGTGTGGACACCTGGTCCCCAGTTTCTCCCGCTGAGCCTCACAGGCTCACTATGGGTTTGGCACTGTCACTTCCATTTATAGACGAGGAAACCGAGGTTTGAACCCGGTTGCTTGAAGTCCGTCAGTCAGCTATAAATGGCAGAGCTGGGACTTGGGAGTGATTGGGGATTTTCAAATCCTTGCCATTTGGACTGTGGAGCCTGAAAGCTAAGCCAGGCTTAGAAGTGAAGAGGAAACCCCGGGCTGCGGGGCTGTGCTTGTGTTCAAGACCTGCTTAGACCGGTGAACTGAACTGCTTTACTGGATCTTTTGGCAACAGGCGCTGAGCATCACTGGACCGAGGCACAGAGGATCCGGGTTGTCTTACAAACATGACGGAGTATGTAGCCCAAGGGAATACTCCTAAATTTATAAAAGCCTTTCCAAAATCAGTACAAAAATCCCTCCGTATTTTTATCTCTTTAAAAAATTAAATTTGTCACTTGTAGTTAGAATATAGAGTAACGGGGCTCTTAGTGATTTTTTGTATGTGCATATAGGGCCTTATTCCTGTTTACTCTCGTTTGTGATCCTCCTCCAGCTCACCTCCAAAATCACCAACGTCACCCAGGAGGCTGATGTGGGAAGGGCCCCCTGGGATAAGCGACAAGTTCTAGACTAGCCTGGGCTACAGAGTAACAACCTGTCTCAAAACGTAAAACAAAACGAAACAAGAACAAAAACAACCCTAAGACCAAACAAACCCCACAAACTCCACTGTGACCCAGCCCAGCCCTTTTGGTTAGCCTCAAAGGCCTCAGGTGTTCCTCCACCAAACACTGTGCTGGATGGGGATGAAGTTCTCCCAAGCCAGGCATCACACCAACCACCAGCTTTAGGCACAGCACAGAGGACACAGCACTGTATAGACGGTCGGATCTTGGGCGGTGCCTGCTTTGTGAGAGATTATTTACTAGAAACTGCTACAGCGTGAAGAAACCGTCAGTGAAGCCTCCACTTCTGGGTGTGAAAAGTGAGTGAATGAGAGAGAGAGAGAGAGAGAGAGAGAGAGA